TTTTGACTTCCCATTAGGTTTTTACTGAAATGTGATATAGCTGGGTGTGTACTAGTTCTGTCAAGGAACTGGGTCCAAGAGTTTTATTAACTAATTCAATACAAACCAGTACGAGTGATAACTTTACAAAGTTCATAATTACACTCAATTTACTACTTCACTACATTCATTTTGTGAAGTCTACAACGTTAGGTAAATCTTCCCTTTTATATTGCACTTATTAGTAGTAATTATAAGTATTTATAATCGAATACAATGTATTTTAGCACAGGTTCTTTTGACATACACTCGAGTTGAATAAACATGTACAAATACAATACTGATAACAATCTAAGGTGTAATGTAGAGATGTCAATTTCCGCTTTCATAATTAAAACATTTTACTGGAGTTGATTTCTTTTTAACCCTGGAATTAGATATTTTTCGAACCAACCATTTCTTTCAAAGAAATTTAACTCGCCTATTGGTTATACATGAACTTATTTGCAAGTCCAGGACTGTTAGTTACAAAATCCCCTAATAATATTAAAGTCACAAAAAAACATAAAAAGGCTTATAATATTGCTATTAACCTCACTGCCGGGCCCATGTGTATTCTATAGAGAATGAGTTATTTTACTCTATTTTTTTACGAGTTCTTCAAAATGAGTCATAACAGGCAAAAAAATATCGAATATAAACTGTGAAATCAATATAAAAAAATTTAATTCGGTCAAATTCCCAGCACATTCAAACATCAGTAACATAAACATACCCCGATTTGTGTATTAAAAAGTTAGTTGAATCTAATTTAAACAAATCTGAGCAATTTCTTCCCATTAAAAGTAGCTTTGGCCACTCCCACCTCTCCGTCCGCCCACGAATCTCGCAACTACGGTGAAAGGAAGAAACACCAATAGGACAGGGCATATCAAAAGAGGCTAAATTCTCCTAACTATACAAAGCTACGAGTTCGGCAAACCCAATATGGAGAAGTATGTGCAACACAGTGCTGAGAAACTACGTGATGACGTGACTTCCGGAGCTACACAAGACCTAAACTACATCTGTATGACGCACTTTAAAGCATCTTTACAGAAGTGATACCAAAAAAGGTTAATGTGCAACTAGTGACAACTATCAGTTACACAAAACGTGCATTATATAAAAGCACAAATCCTGACAAACGTGGAATAAACCACGTGAATAACTTAGTTAGGACATTCATTTTCGCTTGCCACTTGCGCATGTTTTCTTTTTCGAGGTATGTAATTCTAGGAACGCTTCACATCCCCCCCCCCCTCCTCCTCCGCAGCCTTTACCACTATGTACGATTAGTAATCTTATGCGAGTCCTGCACGTTTGTTCAAGGTTACGTATGACCTGAAAAACACCTATATGCACAATTACACCAGGTTAATTAGAAATAGGCTTAAGGTCGAATTGGTTTAAAGTTAACATATTCGTATTTCACTCCAATAAAGCGAAGTTATTTTTCCAACCAATGCCTATACAGGATGGATGTACAAATGTACATATTTAGACTTGGTGAGGCCCTAAGCTATATAAAGCTTGGAGACCCCTTGTTAAAAAGTTACACCAGAAGGTCTCACAAAGGTGCATACCAAAACAGGACCTTGGGTCGCCACAATAAAAATGAAAAAATAAAAACATATAGATGCCTTTTAATTATTTAATAACAAGGTATTAAAAGTGAAAAATACAAATTATTTTCAAATGAATGCATTTACTGATTACATATTTATCATTATAGTATTTTGGCACTTGTGTATAAAGTTAAAATCATAAATAATATTCAACGTTAAATTGGTACACAATTAAAAACATTTAATTGTGCACCAGATTAACGGTAATTATTATTTATGATTTTACATATTTATCATTTGGCTGGCTTGATCTCTCAGGTTATAATATACACTAGAAACAATATTTAAATGTAATTTTTAAAACAAGCCATTTTAAAAACTAGAGTACACATAAAAAGCCACATAACATTTTAAAGGCAAAAAAAAAAAAAACCTTAAATTTTGTGAGGCCCTAAGCTGTAGCTTGTTTAGCTTATGCCTAAATCCAGCACTGTATACAATATCACACTTAAAACATTTTTATACTTTCTACCGAAAATTTAGAATATCAATTGAACGCATTACAGTAACGAGTCGTGAAACATCTAGAAAAAAATTCACGAGAAGGGAATGTTCCATTCAGGTGAACGGAAACCTAATCTTGGTGTCTTAAACATCCTTGACGAGTAACCTTTATCAAGTGGGTTTTGAACTTTACTGTCCACACAATACTTATCGTTCATGAATAAATTTACAAAGCGTCTGTAGTAAATACAACCCACCTGTTTTTCACATACAATGTGACAATGAGTTATTTTAGTTAACCTCTAATTACAGAATCTAATTTTTACTTGTATTATGAGCTTTGGATGTAGGCTGAAACAGAGAGCGTATTATATTGTAATTAAATATGTATGCTCAATTTATGTCTTTTAATGTGTGATAAACATGGTTGTTTTATTAGCACTATCTATGTAGCTCAATCAAAAATTTATAAATGCCTGAAGTTTCAATTATATATACACGTAAGCCTTGAATAATTTATCCCAAAACACTAACTATAAATATATACTAGCATGCCAAATTATTAATCCTTTGGCTTCAGCAAACCATTAAACATATTATTAACCATAAAAGCAAGCATAAATTTCAAGTACCAGCAGAAACGTCGCCCAAAAGCGACTGTTTGTTCTAGTAATTACTAATCGTTATATTCCTACCTCATTGAAAAAGAGAGAAAAAAAATTAACATTTTCAACAAAAAGTAGTTTTTTTGGGGAGAACTGCACAGGAAAAAATGTTCGGATTGTCTTGATATAAACTGTAATGTTTTATGTATTAAAAGTAGTACAGTTTATTGAAAAAAGTTTTTTTTAAAGAACTACATTATTTTGTTTTATATTAACATAATTACATCAATGAAGATATAATCAAACCCTCACGTATAGTCCTAGTGAAATTTGTGTTCTGTTGTGAGGAGAGTACTTTTAAAATTGTGTTCTATTATACAGAAATGGTTGTTACACATACCACAGTTATTTTCCAATTTTCTGAATCTTGAATACCCAAAGTGTGAAATATTTTTCATGGATTTTGGTTGTGGTGCCGTTCAGTAGACGACGAAACATTGTATTTATTATTTCAGTCACATACATAGATAGATAGACAGATGCATATAAACACGCTACGTCCATTAGACTAGAAATATTTGTTGAACCAAACATAAATAAAAAAATTACATCTCCGAAATCCTAAAACTTGCAAGATAACAAATGGTTGTGGAACCTACATAATAATTATTAAAAAGAAATTCAAGTCTAAGATATTTGTTTTAAGATTTCTATAGCCGTTATGATTAGGTCAGAATTAAAACATACGGTAATATGAATTAATTCTAAACTTCTTAGTACTGTCTTAGGTGCAGTAGTTTAAGTGTAGATGTACTATTCAGCCACCCCAACCATGCAGAAGCATATGAAATATCGTTTATAACGATAAGTGTTCGATTCGTATGGTGATTTTCACTGTTAAGAAATTTAGTGTGTTCGCGCGCGCGTCCTTAAGTTTCTAAAACAATTGTAGTTGAGAGAAAGCTTTGTTCAGAATTGTAACCGAGACCGATGCACGAACAAGTGCACTTTGGATTATTCAATTCTTACATTACAGGTCAAAAAAATGTGGGAGGAGTCAACTGTCATTGGCAAAAACCTCACTGAACGCCCAATACTGTGACCATATCTACTGATGTATTATTATAACATTTCCCAGAAGACTGAACAAAGGATCGTATTTATCCACTGGCATGTTTATGTTATGACAGTGAAGAGTTATTTAATGTTGGTCAAGGTCAAGCTACCGGGAGTTCCTATAACATGATCCAAGAATTACCTGACACACGTGCTTCTACCTTTAAATTCTATGTTCATCTTCCTCTTACTTAAAATGAATAATATCTAAATATATACACAGAGCCAGTTGATGTAATAATATAATCAAAAAGCATATTCATGATCTTAACTAAATTTAACAGTAGTAGTATGTAACTCATCTTGTCAAGAGTCAAACTGATGTACCAGCAAGTACACTTTACACACTGTTTCGATGAGTACTCTTGCTGATGTTGGTATTTTCGGCCTTAATCCCAACAATAACTTAAGAGATTCTGCCAGCTTTGGAAATTGGGTCTCAAATTTAAAACTTCGTTCATAACATTAACAATACAAAATTTCCCCAACTTTCAATTGGATAACGGAACTGAAATAGCAACATTGACTGCACATTTTTATTAAGAGTAGAAAATATTCAGCAAGTATAACTATAAAAAAAAATCAAATGCAAAGTAGACTTCTCAAGTTAAGATGACATATAGTAATAGACAAAATAACACAATTTATGGAAGCTGGAGGTGACAAAACATTTCTCAAATTGAATTACAAATGACTTCAGTCTTAGTGGTTACTTGATAGCTAAGGAAGTTATAAAACATTACCTAACTTAGTATTATGCCATCCTGCCGTGAATACACATGAATGTTGAAACAAAGTTCTTGTCATTTAAGTTTTCACTTCAATTTTCGACATTGTCGTTGTTAGTATTCAAACAATGGAACGGCTGTTAGGTTATCAGTTCATATACTTTTATTTCTTTGTGTAAATATTACACAAATGACAGTCGTCATACAGAAACAACACGCTTTGGTTAAACAGTCCACCCCATTCTCAGACATTTATACACTACTTCTATTACTATACACTATACTGTATACTTGTACTACGCAATTTTATTTTTAGTTAACATTACTAATAAATTAATTGTATATATATATATATCAAGCAGCATTCATTCTGATCTAAAAAACAAGCATGCTCTCTCATTACCCTCCAAAATTATTATATTAAAATAAACTATTAATATTATAAAGAAAATATTTCTTACTGCGTGTGACAAGTCAAATAAGAATATCGTTGAGGATCTTTTTCAATCGCTGAAAAACTTTTTTCCTCGATAAAGCTTTAATAGGACAATTTTACATATATGTTCCCTGGTACGGAATCTCGTGCTTAACTTCAAATACTATATATTATGGCTAAATGTTCTATTAGTACAAAAGAACGGCCTACTAGGATCTATACTCCTATTCAGCAATCGCTACTCTTACACGAAACGCCAAGCTACAACTGAACTTTCGCGCTAAACATCAACGTTTACCGTGTGCAATTTCCTTTTGATGACTCATGCAATACTGAGAAGAGGGGAGGGGTGGCAGTTTATCAGTTAAAGCAGTTGAGATAGTAGGGAGTGCACAAAACTTATCTAGGTCTCAGTGTTATAAGCTGTGTTACATTTATTTTGTAACCTTTGTGATAAGTTTATTTGTTCCGTTCATACAGATAAAAGACTAGAATGAATTAATCACAGCCCACAACCACAAAATTAAAGATTCATTTTAGTCTTGTATTACATAGCCCCCCTACTATTTCAGCAGTAAGCATTCTAGTTTATAACTCTGATATTCGGGGGTTCGATCTCAGTGGTGAACACAGAGAAAATAGCCCATTGTGTATCTTTGCGCTAAAACAAATGTACTAAAACGTTTCCTTAAGATCATTATTAGAACCATTATGAGAACCAACGCAATTCAACATTTTCGTTATTTTCTTGTAATTCACAAGAAGATATCAATAACGCTTTTCTGAAAATGTGTTTCAAGTGCAAGCTTGAAAACTTTAATATTTGTGAATTGTTTGATATTCCAAATAGCAAAGTGCACTAATACAAACAAATATTTTTTGTGTGAGCTCATCATCACTGCTGGGGTAGGTGGGGAGAGCTTTTTACGTGAACCGTACGCCTAAGTTGGAAGAAGTTTCTACACGTAGTACGCGAAACAGGGTTGATAATATAGAAACTACTTAATAAATTATCATGTGTAAGAATGGTAGGCTCATGCTCGTTTCATCAAGTTTTTTTGTGTTTTTTTCCACTTCAATACACATTTTATATCAAATGAAAATAGTTTTTGTCACGAATTTTAGGTCTGCTAATGATGTCAGACTTACAAAGGTGTCTCGGATCTTTATGCATTGCATAAGCGAGGTTGGACACTCTTTTTTTTATATATGGTTTTTACAATAGATTATTATTTCAATGTATCAAAATATTTGTCACTATAGCGAAAGTACTAAGAATATAAAGTGACTTCAATGACGTATAATATAACAAGTTTATTAGTCCGAAAACCATGCCCAATTTAGCAACTAAAATACTGCTGTTGTAACGTGTTCTAACGAATTAAATTACCTATTCTTCAACGTGTCTCACAGGCTACTTGTTTGTATAGCCCTAACTTCACGAACAACGGATGAACAGAAATCCTGAAACTAATGATAAGCCTAACTCACAAATAAACTTGTATGTCCTCAATAACAAGCCCTCATTGTTTAGTACATTGAATCACATAATTCAATAACTCGCTGACTAACTCAAAAGTGATTCACTTATTACTTTTTTTCTACTCACTACACGAACCTGCTAGATTCATAACCTTCTAGAAATTTCTAGATGACGTCATGAAACCCTCTCTCTCTATCAACAAACATTTAAGTTAAAATATTAAACTGTAGCTTAAAATGCTTCCCTTCCTGGATTGTAAAGTTCCTTGAACAATCATAACACACAAACAAAGTAATAGAGTAAATTTTCCACTCACCAAGTCTTTTTTTTTGTAGTTTTCTTTTATGGCATGCAGAGGGTATAGCCTCTTGTCCCTCATTGTTCTATCATTTAGGTGAGTTGGTAAGTGGGTCAAATTCTCCCTAGGTAGATGGTCGAGTGAATCCACTTGTGGTTTTATCTTTTGTGATCCTCACGTAGTGGTCTTAACATGAACCCCTAGACTTTTCAACAGGTTAACTTGTTCAGGCAAAATTTTCTCTGAAATTATCCAGTTGGCCATTCTCTTGCTGACATACTTCCAAAGATGATAAAGGTGGATATCCTTTTGCTTGGGCCGCCTGCCCTTCTGGATTCTCTAAACGGCATTATTGATTCTTTTCAATACAATATATGGCCCATTCCAATACCTGCTTAACTTTGGAGTTCATCTTTTATTTTGGCATGAGTTGTACAGCCATACTATATCACCTAAGTGGAATCCAGTCTTATCAACATTAACATCATAGCAATTTTTCATTTTATCACTAGCTGGTTTAAGTCTTTCCCATGTAAAATCACGTATGACATCAATGGTGTTCCTTATTCTCTCTATAAATTTTGCATAAGACTCTGCTGAAGTAAGTAGGAAAGTACAGAAGGTCCAATGATGCGTTAAGTTCTCTTCCAAAAATAAGTAATAATAGCATGTTGTCCGTAACCTCATGTATTGCTCTTCAATAACTCATAAGTAGTAGTGGAAGATCTTTATCCCACATTTTCTTATGTTCATCCACATAAATGGCTAACTGGTTTCATACTGTATGGTTGTATCTCTCAACCATGCCGTCAGTAAATAGATGAAGAGCTGCTGTCCTAGTCTTCTTGATTCCAAGGATCTGACATATTTATGCAAACAAAGCTGATCCATTGATAATTTTCCTTGCTAGAGGTTTTGTTTCCTGGTTAGAAACAGCATATTATTGTAGCCGTTTGGTGAAATTCTTAATCTCAAACACAATGTATTTATTTCTGCTGTTACTCCATGGCAGAGGACCAAGCACATCGACGGCAACTCTCAAAAGTGGTGCTCCAATACAATGGATCTTTCATGGATCTTAACACTCACAGTATAGTCTACATGATTTACATCAATTCTCTACATATCCCCATTTCCTGACAAAATTTAGGCATTCTCTTGCATTCTTTAATATTTTCTTTACACCTGTTGTAGTAAATATCATATTGTTTTTTGTCCGTCTTCTTTTAATTTCACTTTGCTTCAACTTAATTTTCATCTCCTCATCTGTTATAGCATCTATAAATTCGTCAAGTGCCAACAAATCTATCACTTCTCCTGGAGCATCCGGGTAATATAATTGTGCAAGTAGCTTAACATCCTCCACAAATTCGACTAAGGTTTCTGCTGTCCTCTATACTTTGTTCTATAACTTTCCTTTGGATACCTGCTTCTGGTGTGCCACTCTGAACCTGTTGGATAAGGCACCTATGCTTGATAGTTGTTACGACTCTCAGCTGAAAGGTTACTTAATGCCATTAAAGTTGGTATTTTTAAGTGGATAGCGAGATGAACAGCTTTTGTTCACTGTTCACTTTGGAAATAATCTCAAACTGAGCCTGATATGCCTCCTATGGTACCTTTCCATCACAGTCTGTTGATTTCTTTATTTGGTGATGTTGATGAACCGGCCAACTAACTTTTAAAATTATATTAGGTGGTGACATATCTGGAGTAGCTCAGGAGGGCTATTCAATTATAGAGCTTTGGGTTGGAATTCTTGGACAAATGCAGAAAAAGGTATGGCTAGTTTGATCTTTGCATTTACCAAATAATTCTCCAAATGTTTTATTTTGTCATTGATTTTTTTTGTACTTCTTCGATTTTGTTATTACAGCATTTCGCTACTTTGTTGATATTGTACTTTTTCAGTTTTGTCATCATAACCTTTCTGGACTTTGTGGGTGTCTTTCTACGCATCTTTAAACTTGTAATCCCTCTATACATCCTCAACAGCTTCGTGGATCTTGCTTCAGTTAGATTTATAGTTCGTCTTTAAATATTGCATCTATTTACTCTAACTCCTCCCTTAAATTCCTATCTCTTACCTTTAATTCTTTTAATTTTTTGAAAAAAATCTTCTTGGTCTTCTTTTAACTTTTTGTCTCGTTCTTTCCTCTTTTTGTGCCTTTCTTCTTGTTCTTTTTTAAATTTTCTATAACTTTCATCTCGCTCTTCTTTTAATTTCCTGTCTCATTCTTCAACTATTCTGTCTCTTTCTTCTTGTCCATATCTTAATTATTTCATCATATAACAAAATTTAATTTTTGCTTTATGATTAGGTTTAATGTTAAAATTTAGTCAAAGTTATTTCACTTTCACCAGAATAATCCCACTTCTTACATCAATGTTATAATGTATTCTATCACTAGTTGAGTTCTTTTGGATTGTTTGGTAAAAATCCAGTCTAAGTAATAATAGCGACCTCGATTATTTTTTCTTTAACATTTGCTAGAGGCTACATTCACTTGTAGGCCTAAATTAACACTCAGTGATTGAAGTAACGTTTGAAATTTTCTGAGTCTAATGATATGCCTAACTCACATATAAACTTACTTATTAAATTTCTTCTTGTTATCGATCGATACAAATCCGCTAACTAACTTATTGTTTAGCTTACTAAGTGACTGGCACTGATTACTTATTACTCGTTATAGATGACATAGACAAAGTATTCATGATGAACAAAGGTGAAATGGGTAGCATTTGTAGACTAGTTCGTTTGTTATTAGCGCAAAGCTACGAAATACGATATCTGCGCTCTATACCCCAGTCGAAATCGAATCCCAGATTTTAGCGTTGTTAGTCCGTAAACTTACCGCTAACCTACTGGTTGACTTGTAGATTAATCCTACGCATTCTTCTCTACAAGTGTCACACTGAACTAGGTAGTTGCTATCTGTTTATTGAAAAAAATTTCTAATACAAAGCTCTTCCATTCATCTAAGTCTGCATCACTTACTTTTCTGATTTTTTTCTTGAACGTCATTTAGGACCAGCGCCAAATCCTCGGGGGTATTAAAGTGAGTAAGAGGCGCAGCCTTAATTTATGCCTAGGGCGCCGGTTAAGCTATTAATGCCGGTTCTATCTATCGTCAGGCAGCGTACCTAAATCATGTGTAGTGTTTTTAATAAACGTAAAATATTTTAACTCACAGTGTAAGGTTCGATTCAGAACATTTTTTGTGTGCTGCCTGATTCTGAATACTTGGTATTTCACACTGTATACATGTGGCTATAATACTGTTTAGCTTAAACCATGTAGGGCCTAATTCTTATATATTATAGTGTGTAGGGCTTGATTAAAGAAACTTGATATATTATGTCGAATAAGGTCTGGTCCAGGATATTCTGCATGTTTAACTATATAGGGTATGACTTAAGATATTTGGTACATCATACCGTGAAAATAATAATTTAGGATACTTAGTACCTTACATAGTATGAGGCCTGATGATTC